GAGTGCAGAAATGAAAGAGGTCATTTTGAATATATATATAAGATCGAGCGCGAGGAGAACGAGGCATCAACCATCAAAGAAATTGTTGTGAAGGATTCTCACAAAGTTGGGGTGTGTCGCGCATCAGTGTTTAATGTGTTAAGACAATACAAAAAAAATCACACCTTTTCTGAGCCAATGACCAGTAAACATCGCAAAAGTATTATTACATCATTGGATGAAGCTGATAAGCATGCGATTAGGAGGAAAGTGCATGAATTCTTCTTTAGGAATGAAATACCTACTATAGATAAAGTACTGCAGGAGGTAAATGGAGATACAACGTTGCCAAATTTCAAACGATCAACTTTCGATGCGTTACTGAAGCATTTAAATTTCAAATGAAAAAAACGGGGTCGTAATAGTTTACTACTGGATAGAGAAGAAATTGTGCTATGGAGGAGGGATTATTTAACAAAAATTGGGAAATATAGAAATCAAAACAGGAAGATTTATTACCTTGATGAAACGTGGGTAAACGCAGGACACACTACAAGTAAAGTATGGGTTGATGATTCTGTAACTTCATCCAGGAGGGCCTCTCTAGATGGACTGTCCACCGGATTAAAAAATCCAGCAGGTAAATACGAGTAATAGACAACAATCGGATGTTTTTCAAACCTTGGAAAACAAGGTTCTAAACATTAATTCCAGGGGGCAGATAAAACATATTACAAGTAACGAAACTTTTATAACTTTCGATAAAATGCGTGGATGTTTTATTGTCATTTTCATTTGTAAGAACTTTTTTAAGCCATGTTTTTATGTGTTTTCGATATTTCAATAATTTTTTAATATAATCTTAAAATATGTCGAATCTTATAAACTTAAAAAAAGTGACTAAGTTTTATATTGTGTACCGTTCCTAATATTTCTAATCATTTTAATTCATACTTTAAGCTTTATAAAGTTATAATTTGTTAATATTAATATTTGCGCGTATTTCAGGTTCCTGATCATTCATTTTTTAAAGGTTTATAACTTTAAATTAAATTGTGAAGCGCTGAGTAATCATACGACGTTCAATATTCTTTCTTTCAATATGACTAAATAATCCCAATTATAGCAATCTGATACTCATGTCTCAATGTTTTTTCGCTGAATGTGATGAAAACATTTGAAAAAGGTTCGCTTATTGAAATAAATCTAAACCAGTTAGTACTTCGATTTCCAGGTAAAGGGAGAAGGCTCATTATCTGCCATATTGGCAGTGAGGATGGATTTCTTGTTGACGGTCTGTGGTGCTTTGAGTCTAAGAAAACTGGAGATTACCACGAGGAAATGAATGGCGAATCGTTTGAACAGTGGTTTTCAAAAATTTTACCGAACTTAGAGGAAAACGCAGTAATTATGTTGGATAATGCGCCTTATCATTCTCGAAGAATGGAGAAGGTCCTAACAACGGCTTCAAGGAAAGTTGATGTTCAAAATTGGCTCCGCTCGAAAAATATCAACTTTGAAGAAGCAATGCTGAAAGTACAATTATTAAGAATTGTCAAGGATCACAAGGCGGAATATCAAAAATACGCCATTGACGAAATGGCAGCAAGTCAAAATAAAACTGTGCTCCGTTTACCACCATACCATTGCGAGCTCAATCCCATTGAGCTCATATGGTCAGAGGTTAAAAATTATATAGCTAAGCACAATACAACTTTTAAATTTTGTGACCTCAAAGGACTTTTCAAAGAAGCACTAGAATTAATAACAGCGCAAAAATGGGAAAACTGTATTAAGCACGTGAAAGACAAAGTTGAAAAAAGAATGTGGGAACTGGACAATATTTTAGAGGAACAAGTCATTATTGACGTTGGTGATTCAGGCAGTAGCGATGATGAAAGCTCATCAAGCTCATCTTTCCAATAAAAGATGTCGTTCATCAAATTCGGTAAGTTATAAGTAATTAAGTATTTTTTAATTAATTATTGACATTTTTGAACCCATTTTGGCAAAACCTATTCAAGAATCTACTTTCTGACAATGTTCAACCATGCACATTTTTTTACGTTTTAATTTGGTTACATATTTACCTAGAAATCAAAAAATATACTAATCAATATTATAAAAGCAATTTTAAGAGATATACGATTATTTTTAATTTAGGCTAATTTAAACGCCATTTTGAGATTATATTCGACTGTATTTCACCAAACATCAGGCGGCATCCGAAGATGGAAATCGAAGCGAAAATTTTGAAACCCTTATGTATATTTACATCATTATATATTTCTTACCCCACCCCCACATGATCCTATATCCATCACCAATCGTATACACATCGAATTGTGCGATTTTACTACAAAGTTACGCAAAGCAGCATCTACTATCTAAAATATGTACTGCGTGACTCTTAATACGTCCCTGCCGAATGTTACAGCGTTCGATGATCACGTGGTCTTGTTTATGTCCGGTCTATCTCTTATCTGAATATACTGTACTTATATTCTAACAAAATAATTCCATCTAAACAATCTGGATACCGACAAGGTTCTAATACAGCCACGGCACTCTGCGATTTAACAGACAACATAACAATGGCGATTGACAACCAAAAAGCAGTAGCTTCCATACTTCTTGACTTTACCAACACTCCTTGTGTCTAAATGAAGTTATTATGGATTTTCTGAAGAACCTCTTTCGTTTATTCAAACCTACCTTGAATATCGGTTTAAAAAAGTACGTCTAAATCAACAGTACTGTACCACACAAAAAATGCGTTCTGGTGGACTACAGGGATCCGTGTTAGGACCCTTGTAATTTTCATTATATATCTCTCAGATTTAGAAACAGAGGTAAAAGCATGCAGCATACAATTTTTTGCCGACGCTACTCAGATTTTCTGTTTATTTAGGAGTGATGACTGGGAAACAGCTAATGATCAAATTAATCGAGATCTTGTCCAAATTGAAGCAGTCTTGCTTTAAAGACAAATATGTTGGTGTATGCAAATAAAACAAAAAAGGACATAAACATAAATTCGAAAGAAAATAAAATAGTAGCTGTGGATCATTCGAAGAACCTAGGTATTATAATGGATAGTGAGTTAAGATTTGTATATATTACATAAATTGGGTGAATCTTTATTGTTTTCAAAAATATTATATTGCTTAGTGGTTTACTATCCCTGTTTAGATATTAGAATAATAATTTGTATTCAAAGTACTAGGAATACATGTTGCAGACTTGTAAATGATCTCAGAAAATGTAATCATATATCGAAGGGCATTAATGACCTGAAATGGATGAAAATTGATAAAATGTATAAATACAAACCCTTTCTTCGCAAATATTTCCACAAAAGTAAAAAATACAAAACCACCGCAAGAATGATGAAGACATTAAAAAATGTAGATAATTGTAGGCTGATGATAACTGATAATATGTACTTGTATTTTTCCGTGACTACTGAGGAGTATCATAATAAATCATACGCTTTTCCGTATTGGTAATGGAAAAAAATAATAAATCTTTCAACCCTTGACAACGTTTCGTTTGATAAATAGATAATTAATTATACTAGGTATTTACCGAAAGCCATTAAATCAAAATACGATTCATTTGAATGTGATTTTTTCATTAAACTATCAAAAATATATAGTCCCTAAACTCTGGCGATTTATCATGTTCGTGTTTCTTACTTTACAAAATCACATTTATTTTCGTTTATCAGATCTAGGATTTTTATTGGCAAAAATGATGCCTGAAACTTTTCTAAGAAAAAGTAATCTACCTGGGATAGCAGAAATGTGATCCATTTGCCACCATAAACAACTGTATATAACGTTGTCTTATGCCCTTTATAAGCTATAGCTCTCTAATCATTTGGAGACAAGTGAGCCTAATTTGACATATGACACACTATAGCATTTTCTTGTAGAATTTATGTTTTTAGAACGTTTTCTTTTATTTTTCTTGTGGCAGTATTCTCAATTTAATTTTTGTATATACTTCGAAGTTGAGTCATTTATTTTAACAGTGAGTAGAACTGATCAAAAGAAATGTTTTTTTCCTTTACCATTTTTCTGGTTTTTACCAGTAGTAACAAAGTTATAGCCCTTTCTAAGTTTGAGTACCGCCCTGTCTCAATAATAATATTATGTGCTCGTGTTTGGCGACAACGGATATAATTCGCCTTATCGGTTCATCGCTTCGGAAACAAAAAAGCGAAAGAATTTGGAACGATGTTTTTACAATTATTTCATTCAGTTGTATACAGTCAGTGTCAGTCGGTAGTGGATAGTAGTGTATGTTGCGTGGTTCAAACGAAATAAAAAATGGCACATGTTTATGCGGATCGGTTTCCCAATCGAGTGCAACCAACCCCTCGTGCCTTTGTTAATGTAGTACAACGGGTTCGTGAATCATTTGACTTAAGACCTCATATATGGACGGCATGCCGGTGCTAAAAGACCTCACGATCAAATACAGGTCCGCACTGAAATACTTGTCGAGAGTATACTTTATAAAACAAGGTAATTTTTTTTTTATTTTTACACACATATTTTGGTTTATCTTCCTTCTACAATCATTATCTGAAAATTAATGACTCAACTTCAAAGTCACCCTGTATAGGCATAATGTGATATGAAGCCGTGCTAATTTACTTTTTTGTATGCAATAAGTACTTGTAAAGAATCCTATAAATATACGGATTGTCACATTCTAAGGTATAATAAGAAAGTTTAGCTAAATAATTAAAAACCACGTATTGTTTTAAATATTTTTATGAACCTATCTTTACGTTACTGATTGACAATTTTTATTAGAGGTCTGGTTTTGGGTATCTTATTTTGAAATCCGGAACGCGCAAAATTATTATTATATTATATTATATTACGTTGCAAGCTGTTTCTCACATCGTTTTAATCCGATACGGAAATGGGAGTTCGCTTTTAGAAAATTGTATCTACATTTCAAGTGAAATGTAAAAATATTAATTAAAAAAAAATGTCACGCCTTACCTGGGCAAGTCTCAAAACCCACCAATACGTCCGAAATATCGCACCATATCACAGTGAAAAGCAAAGTTCGAAACCCGGTCCGCGCACAATCACAGTCTATCACAACTTCGATCTCCCGATACGAAATGAAGATTGAAAGATCCAAGGAGGCCTGTGAAACAAATCCTTTCGCATTTAGAAGGCCTACCTGACTGACCCCAGCCCTGCGTACGATGCATCTTCCAGGTATATCATCCCCTCCAGCGTTCTGCTCAGCACGTGCCTGAACTCCGCCTCGCGCGCCTCGGTATTGGCCAGAGCGCCTAGTGGGCGGGACAAACTGCGAGCCCGTCGCCGTGATTGGAGCGTGAGCAGCGCTGTTTGTCAGTTGTTTTGGGGGGGAAGTTAAGCATGATGCGTTGATGGGACCCGATTTGCCCGATTTGGCGTGAATCTCGCTTGTTGATGGGATGGGGGATTGTTAATTAGTTATTTTATGAGACTCCAGAGAGTTTTTTTTGTTCGTTGGCGAGGAATGGTGGTGATACAGCGAGTGCTTTACTGGTTTCTTTGTTGACAAACTTTAGACATAGTGAGGACGGTAGACTGTATCCACATTAGATTTATTTTCTGAGTGGAAACTCTTGTACAGATGATTTTTGGTATATCAGCTTCTTTCAACGAGTTCTACAAGGTGTTAAAATAAATACTCTGAGGGTCGATTTCACCAACATTATTATTATGGACCAATAGGAAAATACCTTATCGGAATGCAATTTGACGGAAGCTGTCAAAGGTCTCAGAATATCAGTGATTTCTATTAAAATGTTGAACAAAATCGTGAAAATTCGACTGTATTATAAACAAGACCACTTTTTGATTCCAACATGATGCTTTTGTACAGAAAAAACAGGATTTTTTTTTAGTGAGGGGGGAATGCATTTACGTACCATACCATAGCCCGAGCTACGGCGTGTGTGGGACTCCAGGGTCTTGAGGAGAGCACCTAATACCCACTAAACCCTAAACCTCCGCGTGGCCCGACTCATCAGCGTCTCGGTAGGCCATGTGTTGTGCGTGACCTGCGGTCTGCTACAACGTCTCCTCATGTGTTTCAGTCTCTGGGAACGCCGGGTTGGTTCCCTTTACCTCGCACATTCTATCGATGTCGTTAAGCGATCATCGATAGAGGGTCTGCTAGGTTCTCTTGAAACTCTTGTTTTCGAAAAGTCAAGAGTTTCAAGTCCTCTTACCAATATGTTGTTCCTGGTCCAGCTCCTGAAGGGTCCTGGACCTGGTGGGTCCTGGTCGTGGCGGGTCCTGGTCCTGGTTGGTCTTGGTCCCGGTGGGTCCTGGTCCCGGTGGTTCCTGGTCTTCTGCATCCACGCCGTGGGGGGAGGGGAGCAACCGCGAGTTCTCCTAGTCTCCTAGTCAAGGTTCCAGTTAGCGGGTGCCAACTGGGACCTTGGTCTGGGGTACCTGGTTCTGCGGTTGCGAGGCCTCTCGTCCGGATCGTAGTCCATGAGGAATCGTAGCTGCTCGTTCGGGTGGTCCTGAGCTTTCTCGAAGGTCTTCTCCGCTTTTTTCCTCATGTACTCGTGGATGGTGTCCCAATGCAGGTCTCTACGCAAGGTTGAGTTTCTTACGTAGGATGGTGCACTGGTGGCGATCCGGAGTAGCTTCATCTCTAGAGCAGCAAGTCGCTTGCGGTAGCTGGGGGCAGCGTACCCCCAGACCGCGGAGGCGTAAGCGAGCTGAGGTCTGGCGATGGCCTTGATCAGCCGTAGCTTGGTCGCTAGCGGCATCCGGCTGTGTCTACCCAGTAATGGGTAGAGTTGAGCCATGGCTGCTCTGGTCTTTGCGATGACAGCTTCTATGTGGGCTTTCCAGGTGAGGGACTTGTCAAATACGATCCCCAGATATTTGACTTTGTCGCTCCACTGGATATCTTCGTCGAAGATGGTTGCTTCGAGAGGTCTTGCAATCCTTCTTTGTTGAATGAAGATTGCCTGCGTCTTCTGGACGTTGATGCGGATTTTCCATTTCACGCACCAGTGCTGAATGTGGTCCAGTTCATCCTGTAGTCTCCTACGGATGATCTCGGGTCGTCTATGCTTGGCGGCTATAGCAGTGTCGTCTGCATATAGAGCCAGCATTGTGTCAGCTGTCTTCGGCACATCGTGAGTATAGATGTTGTAGAGCAGGGGGGCTAAGGCTGACCCCTGAGGCACGCCTGCTTCCAGCTGTCGTCTTGTTGAATGGCATGTACCAATCTTCACCGTGAACCATCTTTGTGTTAGATAGCTCTGGATCAGTTGGCACATGTTCGCATCGATTCCGGCGGCTTCCATTTTGGCGATGAGTCCATCGTGCTAAACTCGATCGAAGGCTCGTTCCACGTCCAGCAGGACGAGACCGGTTGCCTCCTGGAGATTGAAGCCGCTGATGATGTTTTCCGTCAGTCGTAGCGCTTGGAGTTCCGTGTTGTGGGAGGATCTGAAGCCGAATTGCTCTGGGGGGAGAAGTTGCAGTTCTTCTGCCTGCTTCTCTAGTCGAACGGCGATAGCCTTTTCGACTACTTTGCCCATCGAGGAAACCAGGCTGATGGGCCGGTAGTTCTGGGGCAACTTCCGGTCCTTGCCTGGCTTCGTGAGCATTATAACCTGGGCTTCCCGCCACCGCCGCGGGAAGTGGTTAAGTCTCAGAGTGGCATTGGCGATGTTGGTGAGCGCAGCAATGCCTTTGGTGGGAAGGTTCTTCAGCATCCTATTGTTGATGCCGTCCCTTCCCGGCGCATTTCTGACCTTCAACCTGCGGATGATAAGACGGATTTCCTCTGGACTGGAGGGGTGATCCGTCTCCTGGCCAGGTGGTCGACTCCTCATGATTTCGGCTGCGACTTCCACGGCCTCCTTGTGGTTGTCGTCCTCGTCTTCATGGTAATTGAGTCTGCATTCGGATTCTAGCGAATCGCCGAATCCTTCGGCTTTTTCTTCACTGGAGTAGGCCAAGCCGCGTTGGCCCTGAAGAGTGGGGATCGTGGTGCGCTGACGACGGAATTTTCGCTGCATAGTCCAGGCCGTACCATCCTGGGTCTCTAGTTCTGCACAGGCTGCATTCCATCTGCTGTTTTGGAGTTCCGCGAGTGCGTTCTTCAGAGCTAGCGATGCTCTGTTTCGCGCAACTCCTCTGTCAACAGCTGGAGATGTTCTCGCTTGAGTCTTCTGTTCTCCCTGATCAGGTGCCTAATTTGGTGCGGTGCTGGACCATTTAGGTGTCTAGGTACTGCCATAGTCTCGGAGCGGGTGCTGTCCTCGTGCGCTCGCAGGACAGCATTCTCCAGCTCCTCTACCGCGTTGTCCAGTTCCTCCGCTGATCGGATGGTTGGAATTTGAGTGATGTTCCTTTGGACGTTGGATTTGTACAGGTTCCAGTTCGTCCGTTTGGTGCTCAAGCTATCTCGAGTTCTAGACCCTGTGCCAAGTGTTAGTAGAATCGGATTGTGGTCCGACGATCCTTCCACCAGGGTCTCTATCTCGAACTCCTCTCTGATGTTGCGGAGGATGGCTATGTCCAGTACCGCAGGTCGCCCGAGGCCGAATGGAATGTAGGTTGGTTGCTCCGGACCGACGATGATCCCCGCCAGGGCATCGACGTGTTCTTGGAGCTGCCTCGCATTCCTGTCTTCGACGTTGTTGTTCCAATTGTATTTTGATATATTTTATAGATTTACATTTAACAATCTGTTATCCCCTCAGCAAATGGGAATGGGAGAAATAATAGGTCGATTTTCTAGCTGTTAAATTTGGCTGCAGGTTTGGTCGTTTGTTAATAATTCATGGCAATCTCGAAATTTGTTAAGTTCAATATACTGTGTGTATATTATGAGATCGTTATAGCTACACATACCTGTTGAAGTGTGCGGATTTGCAAGAAAATAGATTATAAAATGTATTCCAACCAATTCTTCATCTCTCTTTACATCATAACAGTAATCATTTGTTATAAATTCGTGGGTTAATGAATTTCTTCAAAGCAATCAAAACAGTATGTCGTCCACATCCTAAAACACCGATTTGTGTAAAACATGTTAATCCCTACATCTCCGAGGTGCATAATGCAATTGCTGTAGACATAGACCTAAAATTATTAGTAACTACTGAAAAATAAGAGCTAAAAAGAATTATAAATAGATAAAATATTGGAGGTTAAGGTTTTTGACTGGTGACTGGTGGGGATGCAATATAGGGATGGCGACGATAGACGATTCATTGATGTATCGAAAACATCGTGTACTCGTTAAATCTGCACGAACCCCTAAATACGTGGTTATGTTGAACGTACCATCACCGATGGTGCGACTGATTACACACTGAAATTAAAACAAAAAACCGCAATTGTATGTATGAATGTTGAAACTGTTGAACAGTTTCGGACCAGTCGGGTTAAAATACCGTTGAGGAACTGGAAAGAAGTGTATGAATGTGTCGAAATGCAACACCTAACAAAAATTTGATTGAAAAGGCTTTTTCTTGTAAGGATTTGGAAGTGCAAGTTTGCAAATGTAGGATAAACTATAAGCACACAGTAGGTGATATAATCACATATGGATTACAAAAGTTGCAGTAAACATGGAAAAACCTTCAGCTAATCTGAAAAAATAGATTTTCCTCAGACATCAAGCATTTTTAAAAATTTTGGCTTAGTTTCACTTCATATTTTACAGTGTTTTGTTTTGAATACTTTGATGCTATTTGCTGCCAAAAATTTGACGGAGAGATCTTGACGCTGATTGGGTAAATTTAACGGACTGTTTGGTACTCGTACCCTATTGGTGCAGAATAATGATCAAGTATCATCTTAAATGAATTGTTTTTAAGATAATATATTGTAATTAAAAAATGGCGTCAAGCAGATCGACTCCATTCTTCCGACGTCTTCGTTAGGGGTTTCAAAGAAAAGGGATGATTCTAATCGTTTCAAAATGCCAAATCGAATCGTGATCAGTTAGGTAGAACATCACCAGTGTTGGCATGGGAAGTAAAACTATATGGACGATGAAAGTCAGAAAAACGACATTTCAAGAGTCCATATCGGAGATACTGAATAATTGAAAACTTTATTGTAAAAAAGGCTTGAAGATACGTGGAAGACGATGGATTTTCTAGGATACATCATACCAGATGCATGTCTATTGTCAATATC